TCACAAATAAAATATGAAATCTCGGGTTTGCTTCGGGTTCGGGCCTGCAAATCAAGTGAAGTGATCGGGCTCATGCATGGCTTCCGTTCTCGCCAAAATTTCGAAATCTCAGAGATATGGCGAGGCCATGAGAATGCGAGGTGATGGTATTACTGTTGTGGCGAAGCCACTCGAGCTAGTCCGCTGCTCTCGACTGTGCGTGCGTCAGCGCGAACATGTACGCAAGCGCGTCTTTTGATTTCAACCAATAAGCGCCGACGCAACGACGTCACACACCTGACGTCACACACAACAACAGCTAAGCTAAGCTCGCCGAGACGACACTCGAAGTCGGACGGATACGTTTTTTCTGCCAATCTGTGTGTTTACCTTTTTGTCCAAATATATTTTTTACGACAACTGTCTTGTCCACGGTGTCTTTTATTCGTTCCACTGGGGTTTAGCAAATGTGTTGATAAAGAGACAAAAATCTCTACTGTTACTAGTGTTAGTGTCTCAACATGGCTACGCTCGTGAAAGCAAAACAACGAACTCAAACGCGTCTTCATTCAATGTTGTCAACTAATATCTGGATTAATTTTAGGCAAATTTTCCTCAATTCTCCGGAGAGATTTTCATAAAAATGTGAAAAACCCGGAATTCCGGGAAAATCCGGAGGACTTTCATCTCTGAAATAGATGGATATGTGTCTTTGCAGCATCCTCGTCATTCACCCCTCGGGCCCTGAGGCGTTCCGATAGTTTTACGTAAATGTGAATCAACCAGAAAAAGTGTTCACCAGTTGGGCGATCGCTCACTATGCTGATGTTTGCTTTGGGCATTTTCGAAGCATTGTTAAAAGCCGACAAAAGCAAACATCCTTGGATCAGTTCTTGACAAAACGCCAGGCAAAAACCACTTCTGAGAAAGAACATGAACTAAAGAGGGCAAAAAATGATGAGGCAGTTAAAAGTTAAATGACCATCATTTTTATTCTTTACGCTATTCATTGTTTTTTACATTAGGCACAATTCTCATTTATTGTGCAATAATCTAATTGTAACATGTATTTGCTACACATTTTGATGCATTTTTATGCTTGAGAAAACATTTATGTCTGAATTTGGGGGGTGGGAGGCTTGGAACGGATTATGGCATTTACATGGAAAATGTGTCTCGAATACTTACTTAATTTCGTAAGTAGAGGTACCACTGTAATTAGTTTGAAATTGTCTGAAATAAGTGATTAACAGCCACAGGTCATCAAAATTTTCATTAATTTATTTTATAAGAAAATCACGAAAAATGTAAGTTAACCCAAAATTCTAAATTGTCACTTCAAATCATACAGAAATACAATCTTCAGACTTTAACCCCATCTAGCTGGTTTGGGAGGAATTGGACAAAAGAGTGAAAACAAAGCAAAGCAAACTACAAATGTTACACATTGATGGGAACTTCTTTGCAAAATCTGCCTAAAACGGCTACTTTAAACATTCCATGATTTCTGCAGCGACTTAAACTGTTTATTTGTTGATCGTTTTCTTCTCAGAGTGCACAGCCAAAATTGGGATGTTGTTAAACAAATAAAAATCGAATAGAATGATTTGCCAATCATGTACAACCTCTACAAACTATAAGACACTACAAAGACAAGATATTTTAAGTTCAAACTGATCAACTTTATTGAATTTAGCAAATAATCATGAATTTTGAATTTTATGGCTGCAACACGTTCCAAAAAAGCATGGACGGGGTCATGTTTACCAGTGTAACATCAATAAATATTTGGGAACGGAGGAGACTAATTGTTGAAGTTTTGTAGTTGTAATCCTTTCACATTTTTGCTTGGTGTACAGCCTCAGCTGCTCAACAGTCCGGGGTCTCTGTTGTTCTATTTTACGCTTCATAATGCGCCACACATTTTCAATGGAAGACAGGTCTGGACTGCAGGAAGGCCAGTATAGTACCCGATCTCTTACTACAAAGCCACACCGTCGTAACACCTGTAGAATACGTTGAATTTCTTGCTGAAATAAGCAGATGGTCCATGAAAAAGACATTGTGTGTATGTATCGTTCAGCATTAATTGAGCTTTCTGAGATGTGCAAGTTATCCATGTCATTGGCACTGACACAGCCCCACACCATTATAGATGCTGGCTTTTGAACTTTGCGCCCATAAAAATCCGGATGGTTCGTTTCCTCTTTGGCCTGGAGGACACGGTGCCCACAATTACCAAAATCAATTTGAAATGTGGACTCGTCAGACCACAGAACACTTTTCCACTTTGCATCTCTCCCTCTCTGTTGAGCTCGTGCCTAAAGAGGGTGGCGGAGATCCTCAGTGATGTTGATAAATGGCTTTTGCTTAGCATAGTAGTTTTAAGTTGTACATGGAGGCACATTGTCCTTAAACTGTTGGGACTATTTTCTCACAAATTTGTTGACAAAGAGGTTAACCTCGCCCCATTTTTGCTGTAAATGACTGAGCAATTCAGGGAAGCTCTTTTAATTTTATTCCCAATAATGCCACCCACCTGTTCCCAGTTATCCTGTTCATCTGTGGGATGTGCCAAACAGGTGTTTGATGAACATTCCTCAACTTCCCAGTCCAGTTTTTGCCATCTGTCTCACGTGTCGCAGACATAAAATTCGAAGTAAATCATTATCTCCCAAAAACAATAAAGTTGATCAGTTTATACATTAAATAGCTTGTCTCTGCAGTGTATTCAAATAAATATACAGTAGGTTGAAGATGATTTGCAAATTATTTTATCGAATTATATTGTATTCTGTTTCAAACAATGTCCCAACTCCATTGCAATTGAGTTTGTACAATGAAACAATTAACTGCATGAATTTCTATTTGAAATAGCTGGTGGGGGAAAAAATTGGGCGTTGCAGACCTTTTGACCACACAAAAAATTTTTTTCCTGCTCCACATGAATTACAGAAAAACTTTAATGAGGTTGACATACCTTTTTGAAGGTCTTCTTTTAAGCTCTTCACTTGCAGCAAGAGGGGACTGTGTATTTTAAGCATGAGTTAATTTAAAAATTGTGGCAGCATAACAGATAAACACTCCCTAATCTACCTACGGTAACTTCCTTCTTCTGGTACAAACTCACCTGAACTCATCAGTAGGATGTGCAATTTCAATTATGTCCCCAAGGCAGATTTGAGGGAAAATTTTTGGATTGACCACCACTTCATCATCTGAACAAAATAAACATTTGATTGCAAAACAATCCCAGAGGGAAAAATGTAATGTACATGATGTTTTGAACTTACCGTTTCCACCGAAACCTCTCTTGTGCAGCACAAGCTTGTAAGATTTATTGCTCTTCATAATGTAACAGCTGATAAAAAAAAAACAAAAAAAAAAAACATCATCAGTTAATTCGTCATTTGAACACAATACATCACATGTATACAAACAAACACAGGTACCACCAGTGATTATGCTCTACCTATTACATACCCTTGAATGTTAGGCCTGATAATGTGCATACACCGGTTGAGGGTATAAAATGACATCCAAGATTAAAAATACCAATGGGTAGTGTTCACACTCTGATAAAGAATGGACCACATGCATGGCAACGTGTTAAGCATTTCCTATGCAATGGTTAGCTTCCATATGGGAGTGTTTCCCAACCAGAGATACGTGTACCCCTCGGGGCATGTAAGCACACATACATACATACATATATACTATACATATATACAGTAGGGTGGTCCACATTTTCATGGCAAAAAAAAAAGTTTGTCGGATTCGTCGGGCCGGGTCGGAATTCTTGTCGATACTATGGTACAAGGTTCTGTGCAAAATTTCATTCCGATCTGATGATATTTTCCCGTCCCGCAAAGCGGCCAAAGTTTCCACCATAACAACTGGTCTCAATAGGGTGAACATGTGTATTTTAACCGTGTATTTTGCCATG